AGCAAAACTGAAATATCAAAAGAAAGATGGGTTTTTTGGGGGAATAATTTATTACCTCATAGACGTATTCATCTGGATCAATATCTTGCCAAACATCCTGAGATAGAAGATATAACATATAAGACAACTTCATAAGTTTGATGAGCAGGATTTGAATTGATGTCATTTCACTAATTTCTCCTAAAGATATAATTTCAATTGAGATTTGGCAGTTCATGATGTTTGATGATCAATTTTCATAAGACTACCAAAGATTCAAATTATTGGTGTTATAATTGTAAACTTCTAGCCTAGTATTTTTATCAAGATGTGTAAACAAATATTCACATTCATCCTCAGGTATACAATTGAATAGAAAACAAACTAATACTTGATTTTGTTTTCTTCAGGATAACATATGAAAAATCTGAATAACTGAATCCCGAAAGTGATGCAACCCAGAGGTTCATAACCTCAGATTAAGTTTGCTTTAAATCTGAATGGGACATGCATTTCTTTATCTTTTTTTTTTTTAATTTTGGAGGAACTTATATGCTATCATTTGTTGGAGCCAGAACAGTTTGGATACATTGATTCTATGACTGATATAATCCAAACTTGGAGTTAAGTGGGTCTAGATTCGATAATTTCTTTCAGATGGTTCTCTTCCTTTTCAAGTGTTTAAGCTACTTTAAAGATGAGAAGTCTAGTGCAACAAATAGAGGAGCAGTCTCTAATCTAGTAATATTTCATGATATTGCGAATTGAGTTTGATCTTAATTTGAGCATCAGTGCCTTGGCACCCTTTTCCATCAGTGCCTTTGTATATATTCTCTCTCTTCTCTTCCTACTACATTGATATCAGAGTGGCCACCAAGAAACTGCTTGTCATTCAATGTCACGATCCGGACCTGATGGGCTAACTACCCACTTTCGATGTGGGACTAATCAGGGGTGTTACAATCTCCTTCATTCAAAGGCTGCATAACCCAGATGTCCTCGTCAAGGCCCAGCATAACCCAGATCAAACCCTAGCATAGTGCATTTGAAGCATAGCCCAGTGATGGCTCCACACCGTAACGAGTCCTCTGACTACATCCACGGATAGCCCTAACTAGCCTATTAACTTCGTTTGGTTTAAATCATTGACCAAAATGCTTAAGCTAAAGTTGATAGTAGTACACTTATCAGACCCTTATAAGTCAATCTTAATCTTACCCACTTCCGTTGTGAGACTAATCAGGGGTGTTACATGCATAGCCAGAAATACTGTTAACTAAGGAAACCCAATAAACATGGTGGAAGCTTTAAAATTCAAAAGCATAGAGGGAAAACCGATGTTCAATTTTGCTTTTTTCTTCTTTTTTTTTTCACTTTCCAATAAAAAAATGTGTTCCTGTTGATCACCACAGTTATACAGGTACAATTATGTGTTAATATATATTTGCATTGTCAAGATCTGAGTTGAGGCTAAGCAATGTTCCAAAAGCAACAAAAACTTCTGTTTGTTTAAGTATTTTGCATTCATAGCAGACCTCAGCATATTAACTTCAATTTAAAGCGGCAAACCACTATAAAATGGGGAGTTTCTCAGTAAGGTATCCAAAATTAAAAATGATAAGTTTACAACTTAAAACAATTCTCTAGCAGCAACATATCTGTACATAACATGATGCATCTGAAACACAATAAATATAGGAATGAAGAGATAAATTTGCAGTAAGTATCAAAAATAGCTGAGATATGAACCAAACAGAACAAAACAGATTGGGAACAAAAACTAAAAGATCATTTTACAAAATGATATCCAAACAACAGTGTAAAGTACTAATTCTAACTTATACTTCACCCCCAATTGCATATATTTCTTATGATTAATGAAATCAGCAGAATACACTAACGAAAAAATGACAACTCACATTAGAGTTACCGCGATGGTCCCTATGATCATCCGGCACCCCTGCAAAAGATGCACCCAGAAAAGTCAAATCGAGATCTGGAACAACCAGAAGCCAACATAAAGCAATACACATTAATCAACATGCTCTCACATTCATTCAATCCTGTGAGGGCCATCAAACGAACAGCCACCTCCCGCTCCTCGGCATCCTGCAGCGCCCTGGCAAACGCCTCGTTATTCTCAACCTCCGGCTGGTCGAGATTGGGATTGTTGGCATCGAAGGCGTCCTCCCCGTAATCGCTCCCCTCGATGCTCCCGCCATCCTCGACTACGTGATCCGGCTCGTCTCCCACACCCTCCTCATCCTCCTCATCGTCATCGTAGGTCCAAGCGTCCGAGCTCTCATAATCGCTGTCATCGGCGCCGTTCATCCTCAGCATCGCGTAAGCCCTCTCCTGCACCCAATCGCGAACAACAAAAGAAATCACGAAAGCCCTCATCCCCAACCGTAAAAGCAAACATTCGAACATAGAGGAGCAGGTGTGGGAGATCGGAGTATCGGGTACTTGTTCTTGGAGGGCGCGGGCAAGGGCGAGGTCAGCGTCGACCTGGCTGAGGCTGGTGAAGGGCGTGCGGGCGGACGGCGGCGCAACCTCCGCAGCGAGCGGAGCATCTCGAGGAGGCGGCGGAGGGATCGGACTGGGATCGGGGTTTGAAATGCCTTCGGCGGTGGCGTGTTTGTTCCTGGCGCCGCCCTCTTCACCGTTCTCCATTAAGACACCGTAAAGGAGGAGAATGAGACAGAGAGAGGAGAGAGAGAGGAGAGAGGCAGAAGAGGCGGAGGAGATCAAAATACCGGGCTCCGTTTCTTAAAAGGCATCATTGTCGAGTAGGAATCGTATATTCCGATGGAATTGCTTTGAACTTCGTAGTTTCTCTAATCCAACGGCTCAGAAGTCACCAGTCGCGGCGGATGACCTCTGCAATAGTATTTTTCTCTTTCACGTTTATGTTACCAAAAACATGTCCTGCGATTTCGTTTCTTAACCATTTCGATTACCCGTGGTGGAGCCCACGTGTCGCTCGGCAGAGACGCGACGGTGTAAATTAAAACGGGTAAAAAGTAATGCGGTGTTACCGACCATGACATCTCTCTCGAGTCAGAACAGAGGAGCAGTGTAAGTAAACCGGAACCGTCGAAGGAGCCAAGGAAACAAATAGTCAAAATAAAAAATTTGGTATTTTTGATTGGCTAATGGATTTTGATGCGCGAGATCGAAAGGAGCAACAGAAATGACCGACGGGACGTGACGTGTGATGGTGGGTGAATGAGCCGTGTTTGTGTGTATATATATATATATATATATATATATATGCTTTGGTTAGTGGTTGGCAAATGCTATGGCACTAACAGTCGAAATTGCTCATGCAAGTAATATTATTAAAATTTATAAAAAATAAGGATACTCGAATATATATATACATATTATATTTTTTATTTAGATAAATTTTAAAAACATATTCTTTTTTATTTTTTTATTTTTTATTTTTTATATTTTTTGTTTAAAAATAAGATTTTCCTTTTGCATCGTCGTGAACATCTCTGCCCAATTATCTACAACTTTTTTTTTATTATTTTTAAATAAAAATAAAAAAAAAGTTCTTGAATAATATTTTGTTTTGACAAAATGGAGCAAAAGTTAATACAACAATAGTGTTACTGTGAGAGTGATTTCTCAACAACGATGAAGGTGACCATAGTAAGCTATAATGAGCAAAAGACATTTATAATGAGATGAAAGCTATCATAACAGAGGAGAAGGATAATATCATCTTTTATAAGAATAACAAGTACCCTATAGAATAAAAATAAAAAAAACACTACGAATATTAATAAAAATTAGATTTTTTTGAAAATTTTGCCCTTTACAATTTGTCGAACTTGTTTATACACAATTGTTACCAAAATTGACCAAATTAGAATAGGTTTATTACTCTCTTGATTCTATATGATAGATCACATCGGTTTGTTCCTAGTTCAATCGATCAAATCAGTTGGTTCAATCCAGAGTCAAATATGATCAAAGATTTAATAAGACAATAGTGATTTAAACTTTTTTTACATGCATATAATTATCATGTATTTTGCAAGTAAGAATTTACATTTTTAAATTTTGTGTTACATTATGATCATTAGGATTATAATAAGACTTCACGGATGAAAGGAATTTTAAATATTATTTTGTGTTTCTCCTTCAACTGCAAATGTTTTGGGTTTTGGTTTTACGGTAATTCCCGGATGCTTTCTGAGAAAATAAAGAGAAAAAATTGTATGATGGAAACAAAATATTAATATAAAGAGCCTTCCGGATGGATTAGATGATCCGTCACGATGTATACTTTAAATATTGTGCATACTATACTAGATTTTGATTGATCATTTACGGTAACCTAAAATCACATAAACCTAAATCATCATAAATTTTATTTTAACAAAAAATTCAAATGGATTCATAAAATGATAACTGCCTCACAGTAACCATGGTTAGGAAAGATGCTCTCAGGAGCAATTCTTATGTCCCTCGTGGACCAATCACTAGACAGGTATATTTTAGGGTATCGAATAAACAGATATTATCACAATTTACGCGCAACTGACACCCGTGGGTCCCGCGTCAGAACCGATCGCGTCTCTCCCGTCACTTGCAACGGTCGTTAGGTGCGTATGGTGACGATTAATGGAATATTACCCCGGGGATTTGACCAGTAAGTCTTAACTGGCTGGGGTCCACGGAACCGGTGGTTGCCCATTGGGTCACTTTGTACTGGGCCCCTGGTCCAACAGGTGCTACGCTTCTGCTGCACATTTCCGAATACCAAACAGCAATGTTGACAGATAAAGTTACAATCAAAACCCCGGAAGCACAATTCTCCCGTACAAATCGGTCGTATCGGACGGCGGATTGGCTCTCCGCTGATCCGTCCGTTGCAGCACTTGGAACTAAGCTCGCTGGATTCTTCGATTAGTATATCCCCGTATGTACGTGTCGGAAGAAGAGTAGTTCTGCGGGCTTATCCTATAATTTTCGTGTCCTCCACCAAACATCTCCGGAGTAGAAATAATAAGAGATCAGTAGAGAGGAGCGGAGAGAGGAAGACAGGAAAAAAGGTTTGGTGAGGCGATCGAGATCGAGATCGAGATCGAGAGAGAGAGAGTGAGGGAGAGAAAGGGTAAGGGAAGCCAAACGAATGGCGGCGGCGGCGGCGGCGTCATCTCTGGCAACGCAGGTCTCGGGGCTCCGCCGCGAGGTTCTCTCGCGCGAGTCTGCCCCTCCCACCGCCCTCTTCCTCCGCAGCGTTCACTCCCGGCTCCGCCTCCCGTCGATCCGTCGCCCTCACAGAGGTGTCGTAGCCATGGCCGGCACCGGAAAGGTCACGCCGCTTCTGTCCTCTATCGACTCGCAATTTCTTCTAGAGTGTGTATTTATGTTGCTTGGTTAAAGTTCTCAATGTTGTAGTAATAGGATCGGCTTACATTGGATGTATAGCTGGAGGCGGGATCTTGCAGATTATAGATTAATGTTTTATGAATTTGAAGATTAGATTGTTAAAGAACTTTTCTCTGATGTCCGATCTGTAGAGACATCTAGGCTATACAATGACTTCATGAGTAATTCCCACTCGTTAACTCTTTCCTTGTTTATTTATATTTATTGGGAACAGGAATTCATGCAGTAATAATAATTTTTAAAGCGAAAAATAAGACAAGGTGATGAGTGTTATAGATACTCTGTGGCTGTAGTTAAATGTACATCGATTTGTTTTAGATTTTTGTTAGAAAGTATTTACGTGTTGATTTGTTGTATCTTTTTTCTAGTTAGATTATAGATCTCTAAAGTTGGTGCTCTGCGCTGAGTATGCGCTTGTGTAAATGTACATTTGGCACTAGTTACTTTCGTATGCAATGTGATGATCTTGCTGAACTTTATGAACAACACATCAAATATGGTGGCTGTTTGTGTTCCAAAGTCCATCAGGAACTTAGCAATAAGGAATTTTGTTTTGGGGCTTTTGGCCACTAAAGAACGTTGCAGCTTTGTAGTATTACTGTAGTCGATCCTTTTGGAGCCAGGTGTACCTGGATGGGCTTTTTTTGCCGATTCAGTTTATTTCTTAAAAGGGCATAGTTTGCCAAAGATTGACCTGGAGGGGAGGGGATGATGTCACTTACATTATAGAAATATAATGAAAGGAACTTTTAATAGCTTTCCATTGTGAAAGGTGGTTGGATGAAGTACAGGATGAATATTCTGGATCTGTGATGCCTTTCAAGTTTCTTGGACATCAGGGGTTGGGTTGTTAGGTGAACTATATGCCACTATCTTTTTTTCTGTTTCTTTAGGAAATCTTGTTCATGTTTTTATTTTAGGACATATGTTGTTACTTTTCATTTTTTTTGTTCTTATAGACACAGTAATGGAGAACAAGCTGTTTAAACCAATGGAAGAAAGAAAATGGGATATTTTGTTGTTCCATGTGTATCTGTTTTTTCCTGTAAATTCATAATTTTCATGTATATATTTTATGTCATCTGTTATATACAAGCATAACATAGTGATATTTCGCCTTTTCATGTTCTTGCAGTTTTTTGTTGGAGGCAACTGGAAATGCGTAAGTTTAGAACCTCTTACTTCTTATTTACTTCTCCATCTTTCTTCTTTTCCATTTACTTAGAGTCAATGCCTACATTTATTCTGAGATTATACCTTTATGGACTAACATGAATTGTAATGCTTTATGAGTTCTCTTCTATGAGTTTTTCCTTTTTTGTTAGAGTTTTTAAACTAACAAATATTGCAAGTTATATTCCCTTGTTCTCTTTGGTTGTTTTTTAATGCAACAGTGATTTTTTTTGTTTGTTATTTTGTTTTCAATCGTTTGTTATATGTTTTTTTTGTTGCTTTGTGCATCTCGACTTTGCTGGAACTTAGAATTTTTACCTTGGAAAAAAAAAATTAAATGTACAATATCACGGATCTGATTGGAGCATTTGCTTTCTCACAAGGTATAAATTTACCTCAATCTCTAACATTGATGTTGCATTTTTCTTGACTTTTATAATTTATTGTTGGTTCCAACACCTGAGTTTTTACCTTAGTTGCTTCCCCATATGTTGAGATTGTGTTTTCTGTTGTATCTTTCTGTTATAACTATATCACATAGCTGATAACTAGTTTCTTTTTCTCTAGAATGGAACGAAGGATTCTATTACCAAACTTGTAGCTGATTTGAATGATGCTAAGTTGGAAAATGATGTAGGTAAGATTGTTAATTCATCATTGTTGACATTAATGCTTTGCAAACATTTCAGGTAGACTATACTCTTTCATCTGGCATGGTCCACAACCAATACACATATTTGCACCTACCATACCAGATCTAAACTAATACCTGAATCTGGTTCATATGAGCTATAGAGGAATGAGAGGCTTCCAATGACCTGAGTTATGATCCCCGTTAACATCTAGCAATGTGATTCTGAAATGTCCTTACTCTATTTTGACATGGCAATAATGCAGATATTGTTGTAGCACCTCCATATATCTATGCTGACCAGGTCAAGCAATCATTGACTGATCGTATTGAGATATCTGCTCAGAATTGTTGGGTTGGAAAAGGTGGAGCTTTCACTGGAGAAATCAGGTCACCACCACTGGAAACTTTCAGTTGATGCTTCCAGTTTCACTCTTTTACTAGAATGAATTTACTAAAAATTAAATAAATTTCATATTTAAAGATTCTTCCTTTCATACATGTGGAAAAAGAGAGCCTTAGTCATGGACTTAGATCAGTAAAATGGTCAAGTGGTAAGTACACACACATAGTAACATCTAACTCGAGTTATTGTATCATAATGTTGAAGGACGAATGCAAAAGACCAGTGACTCTCAAGTAAAACAAGGGAACTAGGTGGTCGCTACCATTATTGATCAGGTGCAAGTTTCCACAATATGAATTTATTGAAGCCTAAACCATGGTATGAGTTAATTTTATCCATAAAATTATCACATCTAAGAAGGTTCTGTAGTAAATAAGAAACAAAAATGATACTTTTTTATTGAATTAAAAGAAATATCATTATACTTACAAAGGAAGATTAGATGCAATTTGCAGGTAGTTATGCTAATTGTTTTCTTTCTTTTCATTAGGTGAGGAAGATTTAATATTGACATGTAAATGGTTTCGTTGATTCAGGTTTTGAGAAAGCATTTATTTATTGGAGTAAGCTATAAGAAGCCACTTGTATAGCTTGCTCATGTAGTTGATTGATGGTCTTGGATCTACTTGTGCAAATGAAGTTTTTTCCTGACAGAATTTGTTTGTAAGATGGTAGAATAGTTGCCAATAGCATCTTGTTCTGCAATTGCATGAGAATGAGTCTCAAAGAATCATAGTATAACTTTCAAAGACTTGCATAATACTAAGACACTTGGAAGCCACATATATATGCTTGCATAATCGTGTACATTTGTTTACAACTAAGCAAATCTCATGACACTTCCAACTATGTTAAACTGAATCGAGGCAAATTCAGTCTTAATGACATACAGTTTCTGATCCAAGCACAGAGTTAGTTTTCTCATACCAGTGATAAATATATAAACCTAGCTCCTTACCAGTATCAAATATCATGAGTTCTCATAACTTAATAAATACTATGCATTTTAATTCAAATTAGGAAACATAAATTGGAAGTCCTCATGGTATTTTTGTCCTGTCCTTATTCTGCTCTGAGATATATTTCTATTACAAATTTACAATACCTGGCCTTTGCTTTCTATATTGACTACCTTAGCATCTTCTGAACATACTTTAGTCATCTTATAAGAAAGAGCTCAATGTTATTGAGGCTGTTGATTTATTACCTGACAGACTGTGTTTTTGAATGTTTTATACATTAAGGCCTGCATGTGTAGGGAAGCTGACAAGATGGCCTTTCTTTCTGTTGAAATATTATTTTTATTTTGTATTAGCCAGACACTTCCACGTAATTGCTAATATTGATTTGTGATTTACAGTGCAGAGCAATTGATAGATATTGGCTGCAAGTGGGTTATTCTAGGCCACTCTGAGCGCAGACACATTATTGGTGAGGATGACCAGGTACCATTTTAGGATTTAATACTTAAAATAATCAAATGTAAGATATGACATATTTAGTAAACTAGGTTAAGGACGTTTATATTTCAGTTTATTGTTGTTACTAAATTCCTTTGCTTCCAGTTTATCGGGAAGAAGGCTGCATTTGCCTTGAGCCAGAATCTTAAGGTAATTGCTTGTATTGGAGAGAAGCTAGAAGAGAGAGAAGCAGGAAAAACCTTTGATGTCTGTTTCCAGCAGATGAAAGCTTTTGCAGGTATTGTTCGACTTTATACTTCATCTGGCAACATATCACATTTACGATGCTTATGGTGAAAAAGAAATAGGAGAGATGGTGAATGATATCCAATGCCCATTATTTTGTTTTTTTCGCAGATAGCATATCAAATTGGATGGATGTTGTTATTGCATATGAGCCTGTGTGGGCAATTGGCACCGGAAAAGTGGCTACTCCCCAGCAGGCTCAGGAAGTGCATGCAGCTTTACGCGACTGGCTTAAGAAAAATGTCTCAGCTGAAGTTGCATCTTTTACTCGTATCATCTATGGAGGTAACCTTGTAGATCTAAATTTGTTGGTGATAGCTTAAATAAATGTAACAGAATTTGTGTTCCACAAGTCGAGGAATATAATATTCAATATTATTTTTTATTTGTAATTAATTTAGAGTTGTTTTCCAGTCTGGGAAACCATTAAGGTTCTTTATCAAAAGAAACTATGCTAATGCTATTTTCATCAGTCTGTTGACTGACTGTTGTTTCTGCTACTTCTTAAGTAAAACTTATAATTAGCTTCTCTTTAGTGTTGAATTTTGACAAGGAAGACGATAATGAAAAAAAAAACTCAAATTTCCTGGTTAATGTAATCGGAAATTTGGGTATGTCTTATTACATATTTACTCTGCAAAGCATCCCTTTATTTTAGCCATTTTATTAAATACTTCATTAGTTCATTTGACTCGAACCTTTTTTTATTAAAAGTTCTTAAAGTTCGTGAATGATCTGGATCATCTTTGTTGCTTACATGCTTTCCATGACTTTCATGGACAAAAATTCATTTGTGTCGCTCTGTAGCAGAGCTCTGCCCTCAACTGCATAATGTAACAATAACCTTTTCATTGCTGGTCCCAAATCCAACCAAAGACAGTGACCTTATTGGGCTGATATAACTAAAAGAATATTAGTGTCTGTGCTTCCTTTCCATTTTGTATTTGGATTAAGGGTACCAGAGTCTGCATTTGTGAAAGATCTATGTTATCTTTGTCAACTTCTAAGTTGATTGATCACATCTGTTGGTGGATTGTGCCATTAATATTTGTATTTGCAACATTAATTTTCTTGTTCATGGCCATTGAAATTTATGTGGTCTATTTGGGCTGCATTAAGGATGCCAAAAATGTTACAGGAATCTACCAATCTTTTTTACTCCGTAAGCAGGACATATTTTTCAAAGATTTTTTTATTCATTCAACCCAACCATTGGCTAATTTGTATTGCTAATGAGAACTGGTCATGGTCTATTTCAGGTTCTGTGAATGGGAGCAATTGTTCAGAACTTGCTAAACAAGAAGATATAGATGGATTTCTTGTTGGAGGTGCCTCTCTAAAGGTATCATCAAGTTCTGCAGTTGTCTTACTGAAAATTAGTTTGTGGAAACATGTGAAAGTTGTGCATAGTTCTAATTTTTTTATAAAAAGGAAACTTGTAGAGCTTGATGCCTGGGTTCATAAGAAATTTGTCTGCTTGCACTTGTATACTATGGAAATATATTTGTACATTTTGGTACTCATTGACTCTGTGCATTGGGTAAAATATGTCATTTAGGTTGTCATAGCAGTTTTTGTTCTAAAACACTTCTCAATTAATAGTTTCTTTCAAGGTTTTAGCAACAAGGAGGCTGTTTAACATTCCGGACGATATGGGATAGGTTTCAACTTATGGCATGTTTATCTTACTACATGGTGACACCTTTGCAACTGCAGATTACAAGGATCCTAGACCGGATCTTTCATGGATCTATGTTATGAATAACATGATGATAGTGCATTCATAAGCTGCAACATAACTGCGAATATTATGTATCTACTTATAGATTAATGCATTTACACACATAAGTAGAGTTCTAAAGTTTCAAATACGGCTAATAGAAGATCATGCTCTCAGTAAGTTTATAAATGCTCATCAGGTTTACAAATGTTTATTAGTAATGTTCTCCATTTCGCCCAAACCAGTACAAAATGGGTAATATGTATTGATCCGGGCGTGGACAGGTATATGGACCGCGCCCCTATTTTGGGCAGTCCGGTCCAACCCATTCGAAAATTTTTAAAAATTAAAGTCTTCAATTAGGGCTCCCGAATGTGAGCCCTCTTCTTTATACACGAGAAGCACAGAATCGCTCCCGAGCTGTTGCCATCCAATGCCGCCTATCTCCCCGCCGTCGCTGTTCATCGTCGTCTACCTTAGTGTGCTTCCTCCTCTTCTCCTCCATTTCCTCTTCTTCCTTCTTCTTCCTCTTCCGTGCTCTCTACTTCTTCCTCTTCCTCCACTGTCATCCTTTTTTCCTTTCTCTTCCTTCTGCTCCTTCCTCCTCTTTCTCCACCATCTCCTTTCCTTCCTCCTTTCTCTTCTTTCTCCATTGCACTTTCCTCTTCTTCTACCTCTTTGAGACATTGATGTATACTCGTGTACCATGTGTTGGCACACTGGTAAGTACTAATCCGGGCTCGATTAAGGTTTGTCGTACCCTGGCATACCGTTTGGTATGGGCGGTACATATTGGTTCGACAAGGGACCGGTATGAGTGGTATATACCGGTCTATTGGTATGCCCTACTATATTATGTGTCAGTACATCGGTATGTACTGTACTGACAGTCGGCCGATATAGTGGTACGGTTCGATAAGGCGAACCATGTGATATACAAGACAACATCCTTGTTTATTAGAATTTAAATCTTTGATCAATGATGTATAGCGGTGCTTGGGTGTTCGGGCGACACGAGACTCAAGCGCCTTGATGGGTTATGGGCGAGACACCTTCAATCGGACGCTGCCTAGGTGAGGTTCTAAATTGAGACACTAGGTATCCTAAGTGTTCGCAAAGGCTGGCCTGGGCAACAAACCCCCCCCTTCTCTTTTGTCGTGGTCTAAATCCAATTTCCTTCTCCCTTGCCCCTGGTCTAATATAAACATAAAGGATACCTTTTGAGGAATATAAACATAAAAGATATCTTACGAGGAAAAAGAATAAATAGAATGAATGAATTCAACAATGGGAGACCATGAATGCTGGTAAATGATAGAACCATATCATGCTTGGAAGAATATAAAATCCAAGTTCAATGAAAATCATTTAGTAAAGGTTTCAAGTTGCACATGTATTAGTCGCTGAATGCTTGTGTTGTACTCAGCATAAAATCCTTAAAAGCTATTGGGTACTTTGAAATGTGTATCTGATTAAATAGGTACTGTATTGACTAAAACTCTACTTGCTACCAATAGTTTGTGTTCCTAAGTTTTATCAGCATTGATTATCTATCCTCTGAAGCTCCAAGGCTTAAAAAAAATATATGAACAACCATATCAGGTTGGACATATTTTACTTGCCTAAGGGGAGGCAAATATGGTTGTGCCAGAGAACATAAATTTTGGCTTTTTCTTCCGAGTTCTGTACCTTTGCAATACCATGATTGACCTTCACATCACTTCTTCCTAGTTTGAACTTTGAAGAGACTCCGTTTTCAAGATCTCTTTGTACAAACAGATTTTGTCTTTGAAGTTTGGAAACTTTGTTTTGTTTGCATGAAATTTTCTTTGTAATTATCAACTGAAAGCTTGTGTACTTAGTACTGAATAAGTCCCCATTTTGGATTAAGAATTCAACAGGTTGCACATTAAGATGCCAATTGTATCTTTCTAGTGCGAGGCATATCTGTTGTGACTCAAATGCAAATTTCACTTGTTCCTCTCTCTTATTTCCATTCATACTTATCAAATACATGTATGGAGTTGGTTAAAATTTCATGTATTGCTAATGGTAGTTTTGGAATTTGAAAAAATGTGATTGGCCGGGTTGTCTGCTGCATAGTCGAAGTCGATCATATACCATAGAGAACCTCATGGGTGTCCTATGTATTGACCGGTAGGAGATCATCGTGACATGGTTACATGAACTATATGTTTTAAAATTGATTCTTTTGAGAAATGCATGATCAAAAGTTATGTCTATCAATGACTTCAACATTTCACTTGTTTCTACAGGGCCCAGAGTTTGCCATTATCGTCAATTCAGTGACCTCGAAGAAAGTTGCTGCTTGATGATCGCTAAACTCAAACCTTCCAAGACCGAAGCTCCAGCCTAAAGCACAATTTTGGTAATCCTATTCGACTAAAAGAAGCGAGGAATAAATAAACGTGAATCATTGCATACATTTGGTATTAAATGGTTTGATTTTTGCTAAATTGTGGCCATATTATAGTTTTGTAATATGATTTTGCGTAGCAAACTTCTACAAATAAATCTATATAGTGTCTTGTTTTGACTTTGATAAAGAAGCATGGAGTTCCACCTGACCCTAGGTCCCAAGGACCTTAGGGAGGGAGATTTCTACTTTAATTTTCAGGTTCGATGTATCGATTTATATTGATGTACCGATCGATTATCGATACGATATGTATCGATCTGTACTGATGTATCAATGTACCATGTATTAGTATAACAATATATAGACCTCATGAAAAAATAACCAAACATAGTTCTAAAAATTTTTAAAAATAAAAAATAAATTAAAAATTTTAAATTAAAAATAAATATAATTTTGATATAATTTTAGTAAAAATAATTTAAATTAATAAAAAATAATGACATCTTTTTCGGACTTTAAAAAATAATTTTGTGATATGTTTCAAATCATCCTTTAATTGATATTAAATCATCTACAAATTTGATATGTTTCAAATCATTATTTAAAAAAATCTAACAATATAAATTAAGTATTCTACGTCAAACCATGACATGAAGTGGTAGCCGCCATACCGTAGCGTTCGGTTCATCGTGCCCTTTTTCCAAGGATCCATGCTCGTTGTCTGTGCGCAATTTAACTTCCGAGGCTCTACAACGCATTTGGTAATGATAGTCGCTTTTCTCTTTTTTTTAAAATTTTTTTTGTTAATAATATTGATGTATGTGCAATGAAAAGAGACTAGGAACATAATCAAACATCGCTAATGATTAAAAAAAAAATCGAATTACATGTACTGTTAAACCTCATGCATGCTAGTCTTTACCAATTTGACTCAAAACTCAAATATTTGATTTCTAACATTGTCCCTGTCGCCCGATGCAAGTCTCGGGTCCATCCATCGAGGATCTAAGAGAAGAAAACAGTGACCGAAGTCGTACCTTTTGGATCGCAGGAGGGAAGACGAGCCTTTTGATGTCACAGAAATCCGCCAGTGCGAGTACCATGATATATAAATCATACAAATCTGCCACAAAAATTGCCTGTTTCGGATGCCACCGTCTTCTAGCAGGAAGCTATTATTAGAATTATTTTGGCAACAAGCTGCTTGGTATCCATCCAAAGATGGGTGTTCCGTCAAGTGTGGATGAACTAAAACAACACACAACACACTAATGGCACATTTATTGATCAGCAACCAAAATCCACTTCAAGGATCCATCTTGCAATTGAGCAAACTGTTCCCTAGCACAAGCTCATCCTCCTATTATCAAACTGCAAAAAAGAGCATTCTTTGCTCGGAAACACTGAAAGCTTAAGCATTCCGAACAATATCCAGCTCCACAACACAACTAGAAGCTATGCAACGTTTACTGGAAGGACAGCAGCTTCTTTCTGAGTTTTACACCTGCAAAACAGCAACTGCTTAAACATCGCACGGTCATAGTAGTCCTCTTCCAGTCAACGTAAGGTGTAAAACTGAAAGAATCTTTGATGTGACAAGCATTGAAACTCAACTAAGCATTCTTAAAAGATGACTTACCGGTTACAAATAGAACGAGATGCAAAATTATGATTGTTGCAGTTACCACACATCCAATCCCCATCACGCCAATGTTTTACCCTAACAAGAAGGGAAAAAAATTAGTAGTAGTTCATTAAGCAGGTTTTATTAACTATGTTCATGTTAAACGTGTGGCCCAATGCATGAGACTTCTACCAATGTAGAATTTGGCAATGATCACTTATGCAGAAAGGCTGGGTGACCATGTCCATGTTGGTTACATTAAACATCAAGATAGTGTTGGCTGATTAAAATAAAATAGTCAATCGTGATAAAGACAGTTGGCTTTGTGTTTTATCTAAGTATAGTGTTTTTCTCATCTCATATTCTTATAAAAGATGCATGATGCCTAATTTATACAAAGAAAAGAGTTACAACAGAATAAACATCGAGATTAGGTTGGTCACTAACTGATGTATGCAAAACATTACAATCTAAAAACAATTCAATCTTGTCAAAGCCACGTGAAGTGATGAATTTGGATCCCATAAAGTGACTTGAAAATACCTAGCATATTTTTTAACAAGACCTGATTTAGAATTTTATGACAAAAGGGTCATTTGGTGCAGCAATATATAAGCAATTCTTATGAAAATATTAAAAAGATGAATAATGTGGTATGATTTTACAGAAGTTGACCATCCAATGCTAAAAAAATTGTTAGAAAAATATTAACCATTTGTTTAAAAACTCCATCTATGTGCCAGAATTTTGAGTAGCTCACAATTTTTTTTCTTAAACAAGTGCAAAATGCATTCAGCCATCCTCTTTAAGATTTTGCTGCTTTGCTCAATGAAGCCATGAAAATTTGATGACAAGGGAACAATACTTCTGACTATGTCAATCAAAATGGTAGTAAAAAGGAAAGAGGAACATAATATAAACTTGGTTGAATTTGATGTGTCATGTCATTTAAGTGCATTAATTAAATGTTATGATTAAAGAGATCATCAGGATAGCCTGAAGTGAAGAAATGCACATCTTATGATAAGAAATCAGTATCACCCTTTTCCATGGGAAGCAGGCATTCTTTGATGTGAAGAATGAATATTCCCTTGCATGGATCCAATCATGAAATCTGCATCGGCATATTTGGCATACTCTCCAGCTGCTTGATCGTAATTGTAACCTGCTTGTTGCTCAAAACCTTTGTATGAGTTCCTCCGTCCATTTATCTTGCATATTATAAAAAAAACATTGCTTTATTATATTCAAGATACAAAAACATCAGAACCTTGCATGTATAATTACCAAATTATTGTTATTTACATCGCCTGGATTAAGCCTTTTGTTATCCCAGCTGATAACAGACTCTTCTGATGCCGGATATTTTGTGCCCAAAGCTGGATACAAGTGTAGAGTTCATTCAGATCAACAACAGTAATTCAACGCCATTAAATCTTCACAAGTAAAACCATATCACTGGACCAGCATGTATATGTGCTCTAAAAAGTATAATGCATCAAAAAAGTGGAGTCCATGAAAAAATTAACAGCACATCAAACTGAGATGGTTGATGCTCTCCATAAGCTTAAAATAACCACTTGAAACCATACACATTCTCAGAACATCCTTGTATACAGGGGAATTAGTCATAAAATTTTCACTTTGGTTCATTACCATTTTCTGCTCAATAATATAATGAAATTCATGTATCCTTATGCATCTAATGCCGACTATTACTAGACTATGCAAATAAACTATAGACCTAGCACAGAATTTGTTGAACAATTGATGCCCAAAAAATAACTTAAATTTGATGATAAAAGAAATATACTATCTTTAAGAGGAAACCGTTTCTGTAGACTTAGCACAGAATTTCAGTAATATCATAACTATCTGGAAGTTTGCAGCAAATCATAACTATATGCTTAAGTTGCACATGCAATGTGAAGATTCTGCTTGCTTGTCATTCGGCTCTCCTTTAGTTTCTTAGTCTAATGTAAAGGTGATGCTTCTCAAACAACATGGAAGCAGCATAGAGAGTTGATCACTTTCAGATTTTAATACGATTCTGCATGCCAATTGATAACAAGAATGAAAGGAGCAATGAGCATACTCGAAAACATATCTGAAACAGTTGAGGTAGCTACAGAAGGAGCACCAGATGCTAAAGGTGCATTGCACTTTTTACACTGCACAGAAAAGAAAATTAATGAGTTTCTTGGTTTTCAAGTGAGGCACAATGTCAAAAGCAAATGCAGCTTCATGAACCAACGCAAAATATTGTAATTGTTTCAAGATAAAGATGTTCGGTATGTATTTGGGAAAGTCAGAAAAAGCATTCGAGTTGCATTAGTAAAGAAGTTTAGTGCAAACTGAGTTAATGAATCAGAATGATACTGAAAAAGAATGTTTATGTCGAAAATTTAAGCAAAGCCACATTTGAAACTCTAACTTGTTAAACAAACAAAATTTTGTTCAAGAAGCCACCTGCAGAAAAATGATACCCAGTTGAAATATAAGGTACGAGTATTTGCTAAGCACAGTCACACAGTCAACTTTAGCCTCTTTTGTATACATACCATGAAAAAGAAATTAACTATTGCCCAGCGAGCCTTTAAGTAGGACACTAATCAATATAGATATGCACTTCACTCAGCCAGAAGGAAAGGTTTAGATGCTTACAGTTTCTTAAGACCTGGCCTTAGTGATAAAAAATGACCAAGACAGGTAAGCTTAGATGTGAATCCAGGCTTTTTGTTTCTGTTTCAAACTTTCAAATGACCAAGACAGGTAAGCTTATATCCACAAAATGCAGGACAACATAGGTTAGGCCTAACCTATCTTCCAAGAAGTCTTCACAAAATGTTTTGCAAGTGGTAAAAAATATACAATCTCATCAATTGGAATCAGAAGCATCACATCTATCCAAGAAACATCCTACTTGTACCACATCCGAAATATTGACACTGATATGAGAAGCGATTCAAAGTCTGTATTTTACACCCTACGACCCTCTCCTCTCACTTCCTCCTGGGGACAAACTGCACCAGTAATGAGCTAGGATTAACAAATACTTTTTTACTTCCTCAGCTTCTCTCTTTTGATCCGCTTTTCCTTCTCAAAGGACAGGAATAGGCTTGATCTCATACATTAGTTGATGGGCTAATTACAGATTACCCTCTGTAGTTAGACCTCTTTGGCATCCCGGTCCCTAGACTTAAAAAATTTACATTGAAATTCTTATAGTTATGAAAGTGAAACATCTAACTCCATTTTCCCTAACATCGTCAGTTTTATCATTGAAAATACAAAAACGATGGGCAAAAAGATAATTTTAACATCCCAATTATGTTTTTGATGATAGCGGACGACGACACCGCTGGGGGTCGCGAGTGACTATTGTGGATGAGGAGGGAGAGCGACGACGAGAGATGAGGCAACAATGCAGATGCTAACGCTCTACATTTACATCGGTGTCGACGCAGATGCAAAGTTTGCATCTACGTCATCGCCTCACCTCTTACCGTCGCTCGCCCTCATTATCCACAACAACTACCCGCGACCCCCAGCGGTGTCACCGTTCACCACCATCGAAAACGTAATTGGGATGTTAAAATTAAGTTTTTGCCCATCGTTTTCGTACTTCCGTCGATAAAACCAACGACGTTAGGTTAAATGGAACTAAATATTTTTCTTTCATAACTATAGGGATTCCAATGTAATTTTTTTAAGCTTAGAGACTAAAATGTCAAAGAGATATAACTACATGGGGTAATCTATAATTAGCCCTCAGTTGATTCTGATCAAGATCAACTATCAACTCTTGACTAACTCTATTGAAAATTCCAAGAAGGATGCTGAGAAACAAACGGTTTCAGTATTAAGCACAATCAAATTGAACAAAGTTGATAGAACCACCAAAATATGTCATGGATAACAAGCTCAATTATACATGCCTAGATAAAAAGGCACCATGAACCAGACATGTAACAAAATCTTAAGTAACATGCACATAGATTTTGGAGAACAAATATCTTAAGAGAAATTGCACAAAAGTTGGACAACATATGTTTGAAGACGACTTGATGAGCATATAACTTAAGAGAAAATTTCTAACGGTTCTCCTAAGAATAAGAATTATATTGTTTCTTTTTTTACCAAAAGATGAATGTTTACCAATCTTGTCCAACAACAAAATACTACCTAAATCACAAAAGCAGGGACAAAATAAAGTTGGTTAGACAATATGTTATAACAGCCACAGAAGACCAAAATATTGCCATTCCTGATCACAATAACTCTAAAATAAAAAGCAACATTTCTTTCCTCCATAACAAGCGTACGGACTTACCTCGGAACGTGACGAATAATTATGAAAGCCACAATCACACATCCAATCACCATTACGCCAGCCTCTTGGGGCTGGAAGAAGCTGACTTGTGTTGCTTCTACTATATTGAGTTAAGGGGCAACTGAGAGCAGACTGCAACCCGTATTTACTATTCTCCCCAAGTGGCCAACTTAAATTGGGTAGAAGGGACTGAATAGGAGGACTGCCACTTAATGCAGAATTCATCTGTGACCCGTAGAGTCCTTGTAGTGTTGCAAAATAATGTGCATAAGTCAGAAGTGATGCAGCAGGCATTGAAATAGCTGGCATTGCTGCTTCATCCTTCGATTGACCACACTTTTTGCACTGTTCTCTGGATGCGTAATTGTTGTTACTGCAACCTATCGATCCATTTGGCACATGATTCAAAAATAGGTCCAGCAAAGACAGCATAGCCAGCAGAATCATACCCATCAGTCACACCAGATCAAGAATGCAAGGAAACTTAATGTAATTGGAGATTTTTTATGTCATCTTTAGATGGAAAAAAACTCAGGTTGAATCTGACTGATGATCTCAATACACCAATCATGAGAGGAAAATGCATCTGAAGTTAAAATAAACATCTACAGAATTGACAGTTATCTGGTGATGTAACTAAATACATAATTCACAAATGTAATAGTCACACTCTGATTTCTTACACCAACATATCACATGAATTTCTCACACCAATTTGGGAGGCTATAATTACAAGATGATTGATAAGTTCCTTAAAAGGGAACTCTGTTAACAATGATGATTCCAAAAGAAACATGTATGTCAATAGAAACTATTGTTTTATTACTAAAAGAGCAAGACAAAATTCAATTTTGTTAATGTGGCTAGACGAAATGAGAATCACCTAGTTCAGTCCAAGTTATAGTTAATTAAAGACAATCAGTAAAAGCAATAAACATGATGATATGAGAGCAACATTAATTTTGCAAAAGAAAATTCTGGAGTATTAATGGCATACTTGCCATTTTTCTTATCAAAAGATAATCAGTTCTAAGCAATATGATTTTATTGAGAGAAAGAAGAAATACATATTTTCCAAAATAACACATTAAATCTATAATTAGAAGGAAAAAATAACATATCATAGCAGAAACATATCTTAGATTCAACAATCAAAGTTTAAGACATAGACAGCAGAAATGACTTCAAACGCACATCCTGTATGATTAAGCTGCTCATACAGAAGGGAAACATATAGTGAACTTCTAGGACATTAAGCTGCTCATACCAAGATCAAGCAATCACAAATAAAGTGAAATTAGATTAGTCAACTTGGAGGCGTTATATCGTGTAGGCCTGTTAATATTTATAGAGTCAATATTTAAGGTTGCCAGGAAGAGTGTTTCTTTTGGGTGGGAACATGGTGCATCAATTGGTTTTGGCAGCAAGTGGAATCTAGTCTATTTTTGGTTAATGGTATCGGATCATCCACGTGAAGCTTTTAGTGCAAATGGACTACGACCTGAATTTTATTGCACTGAGCTTCTCAGGTCAGCATCTCCCAGAATTGAACCTAAATATCTACTTGATCTTTCATTTTCCCCACTCTTGGTGGATTTTTTTTTTCCCCGGCAAGAAACTTCCCCAAATGATGGGGAGGCGGGGATCGAGTGCTAGGTCGTAATACATGAATATAAGAACGAAGAACTCAACTCCCAAATAATCCATCACTACAACTCAAGATCAATTGTTGCCGATCGAAAAGAACCTCCAACACCTAATCCAGTTTTCTAAAGCAAAACCTAATAGCCAAAACTATAAGCATAATTACAACACCACCATCCAAGCCCACAAGAAACCCCTTCTCGAAGGCCCAAGCAGACACTCTTATCCAAAACTACGACAAGAATTTTGCCAAGAAGCAAAGATCAGAGAGAGAAACGAGGAGGGAATCACCAGCGCAGATCCAGTCGCCGACGCGGGGGAGCCACTTGGAGTCGGCGGGGGTCTTGGTGTCGACGAGGAGGCGCGGCTGCTTGCAGCGGTTGCAGAAGGAACGGAAGGCGTAGTTGCGGTTGCGGCAGCCGCTGCACTCCCAGTCGCCTTCCTTCCCCTCCCCCATCGCGGGCCGCTTCTCCGCCGACGCCAGCTTCGGGCGAGGGCAAGCAGGCGGAGGAAGAGATGTGGCTGGTTAGGTCTCGGAAAGCCTTGTAGCTAATGGCCCCGACCGCGCTCGGGAGAAGCGGAATAATTCCGGTAGGCGAGAGGGGATATTCTCCGATTTCCCACCGACTTATGTAAACGGAAGGCGAGGGTTATATATATATATATATATATAGTACGAGAGAATTGTTGAGCGGCGGATGATTTGGAGAATTAATTATTATTATTATTGAGATAGATTGATCGGAGACAGACGCGACTCCGTCATCAAGATAAGGGCTAAAACGTGATATATCCTATCTTTGAGGAGTGTAATATATGATGATGATGATCATCAGATAGAACTCTTTCGAGTGCTTATCCTTACTTTTTGACCATTTCATTTTGGTTTCATGAATAATAACTCTAGTAATTTTTTTTTATTGATTAATAGATCAGAGATGTTAAAAGCTTTATAGTGATAAATTTTTTGATCCTGCCTATATAAAATCTTTAACTTAAAATTATCTGATTTTATATTTTCATAACATTGTAGCTTGTCGATTAGATGCTAGAATTGACTTAACTGAATGTGGAAGCAAGAGTTGATCCGAAGAACGATTGATGATATAAAATTTTTGATCTATCGAAGTGATGTTGAAGTGCTTCGTACTTGTGATTCTTGATTTCTCGAGATAAAATTGAGATGAAGACTTCGAGGTATGTATAAGAGAAGATTAATATTAGGTATTCTGATTCGATTCATGATGTTTGAGATAGATTGATCGGAGACTGACGCGACTCCGTCATCAAGCTAAGGGCTAAAGCGTATAGGATGATGATGATGATAAGCGAAAACTCTTTCAAGTGCTTGTCCCTATTTTTTTACTATTTCATTTTCGTTTCATGAATAATAACTCTAGTAATCTTTTTTTTATTGATCAATAGATCAAAGATGCCAAAAGCTTTATAGTGATAATTTTTTGGTCCAGCCTATATAAAATCTTTAACTTAAAAATATCTGATTTTATATTTTCATAACATTATAGCTTGTCGATTAGATGCTAGAAAATTGACTTAATTTGATATGGAAGCAAGAGTTGATCTAGAAAACGATTTACGGTGTAAATTTTTTTATCTATCGAAATGATGTTGAAGTGCATCGTGCTCGTGATTCCTGATCTCTCGAGATAAAATTAAGATGAAGCTTTCAATGTATCTATAAGAAAAGACTAATATTATGATTCGATTCCTAACGTCTAAATTAACGTAGAGTTTAAAGTTAAATTCTTATACAGTGTTTGAAGTGTGAGGAGAGAGAAATAAATTTGATATGATTGGATAAAATGCACATTGTTTTGTTTTTGATATATTATTATTTTTCTTGATCTTTGAAGAATGAATGAAATCGTAGACATTGAATGAGAAGGAAGAGAAATCGCCTTCGGAGGCTAATTCAAGTCCTCGGTAGATCTCTAAGTTTCAGCTTTTAAGGAAGAAGAAATAGTTAGAGTATAGCATGCAGCAAGAACGATGTTATTTTCCTGAACAAGGATGACATATGCTACTCTTACAAAAAGGTGAAAGAGGTGAGTGAGATCCATCACAATAGAGAGTGTATGAGTGTTGAGGGATTGGCTTCATTGGTATAGTAGGAAGTAATTGCTCTATCCCATAATGTAGATGGTTGGAGGTGTTGGTTGCGATGTTTGCAATCATTGTGGTGTTTCTATAAGAGCTAAAGACAATTAGCCAAATAATAATTGAAGACAATTGGTTAAAGCAATTGCTCTAACCCATGATGTAGATGGTTGGAGGTGTTGGTTGCGATGTTTTTATAAGAGCCAAAGACAATTAGCTATTAGTAATCTACAAAAATTAGCTGAAGAGAGTCCAAATCGTCTCCTTCGTTTAGCTAAGATTCTTAGATCATTTATAAATATAAGATATATTTGATTGAATCATAAATAATCATGAAGAATTGTCAATCTATTTGATCAAAGTCCGACCTAATTATGGAGATCCAAGATCATTCCAAATATAAATGTTAGAATTGTTATAAATAATTAATCGTCTTGTGATTAATGATTTGTCTCATCTTATAAGGCACATACTTATGGTTGGGAGAGTTGTTCCAAAAATATTTTTCTAAGAAAAATAAAAACATATTTTATTATAGTTAGGAGAGTTATTTTAAAAGAATTTTTTGAATAAAAATAATAATTCTTTTAATATTTTTCTTAAAGACCTAAGTGCTTGAAGTGGGATAGCAATAATGGTAGGGTTAATAAGAGTGATATTTTCTTGTGATATTTTTCAATGATAATGTTTTGATAGGCATTAAAGAGTCTAGTGTGACTAATGAAGATGTCTAGATAGTTAATAGGTCAATTGTCCTCTCTTATATTTAGGATGATGAACAAGTCTAGATAGCTAAGAGGTTAGTTGTCCTCTCTTATGTTTAGTAAGTTATTAATATGATATTGATTCTATAAATTTTAAGAAAATAGATATATGATTTCTGCTTGTTTATGTATAGATCAATTATTTTGGTTTACATGATTAGTGTTTTGATAAGATTTAAGCAAGACTTATCATTGGCTTTAAATGCTAATATGGCATTATCCATAAACATTAGATGAGTTAGTTTGATACCTTTAATATTAAAAGGGGTAAATGATCACTCTAGGATATGTAATAGTGACAATGACGATACGGAATTGAAGGGTTTAAAGAGATTAATCTTTAGAAGAATAAAATGATGACAACCTTTCGAATGATACACTCACTAAATGCACAAGCTCATGAGTCTCTAAAATATTATCGTATATATATGGAATAACTCATGAGAAAGATTGATTAGGAATGATCAATATTTTTTTTGGGTAACACAACTCAAATCCTATTAAAAAAATTAATATAAATTTTATATATGACAGTACATAATGGAATGCCCATAGTGAAAGGTTTTAGATTTTAGATTTTAAAGTAAGGTACGTAATACTGTATCATATTGGTGTTTCGAGGTTGGCTCGGTATAGTATGGTACCAGCGTACGTACATCAAGACGTACTGAACGGTACACCAAAGTTTATCGAGCGATTTTCTCTTACTGTAGCACAGTAACACTGCTACAGTGTATTACTGTAGCACTGTAGCATGATTCATTTGGTAACGGGTGATCCGCGTACCGATATACTGTCGGACCAGTACGACGATATCATTCGAAATTGCATATCATGTTTTAAAAAATGTTAGAAATGAATGTTGTGCAGTTCAAAACAGTGAAACAAACTTAAAATGCAGACAAACTAGTTTGGGATTGATCGGAAAAGAAGAAGAAAAAATTAAATCTATCATTTATGGAGGTAAAAGAGATATTTAATAAAGTCAAAGCACTTTGCATTTGAAAATGAGAAACTAAGTAGAAAACATTCAACTTATGGTATCCTTTACTTGTAAAAGATTGAGAGCTTAATATATCATTCAAAAAATTATTGAATAAGGTTAATTTATTAAAAATTAAAGATTTAAATTTCATTCAATAAATTTCTTATTTATCCTAAAGTTGAATATTTATATTAGACTCACTTACTACATTAAAGATTCAAAATATCATCAGAAAAGAAAAGAACTGATAGTTTTGAGATTGGATGGTACCTATGGAACATATATTACCTTTAACACTTTTACTTATTAGAAAAGTTAGATTTTATAGTTTATCCTTTATCTTTAAAATAATAATTTATTTAAGAAAAACTCATAATAATTTGTTTTTACCGCATGATCTTTATTGAGAAATTACTAAGGGGTAGGTTTTTTCATGAATGGATAATTATGTTGTCCTTTTAGTTTTATTTAGTGACTTTTGTGGGATTGAATGTGAACCTAAAACGAATCAAAGTGTCCGATTTGGTGTTCTCTCCATTGGCCCACTGCTTTCCTACATCCTCTTATTTCCGGGGAAGAGATGAGGAAGAATCTGAGGAGATAGACAAGGAAAAAATAGAAAAGAAATGAGAGAAGAGATGATTGAGAGGAAGAGGATGATGATGAGATTGAGGAGATATAAAAGGCAGAGAAGGGTAATTATTCAATATTTAAAAAAATAATAATTAGAAGTGAAGAGTAAAATTATTTTTTAAAAAAAAGCACTCATGGATACATTCATCATTTGATTAAAAAAATAAAAATATTACTGTTTACAATCCCTCTTTTCTATTTACAACCTCATATTATATTTTTTTTAATATTTTTAAAACTTCTCTTTTACAAATTGATCAAAATATTTTTTTTCTTTTTATTTTCATCCTCCTTTTTATTTTTCCCCTTCTTACGATAAACAATGGATCATAATCGTATCATTTTCATCGTCAAATTCTACCTCTTGATAGTTTTCTCCTTTTTATTGACGATAAAACTTTTTATTGACGATAAAATATAATAAGACCTTTCGTGTGATTCATAATCAATTTCTTCGAGGATGATGGGATACATAGGTAAGAACTATCAGAATATATATATATATATATATATATATATATATATATATATATATATATATATATATATATATAATCATATATAGAGTGAGTATAAATAAAAAATATTTATTT